GCCCAAGCACTAGCTGAACTCTCATCAACACAAGCCCCCCTATCATCTGTCCATGTAAACCCTGATGATGATCCTCCATATCTGAGCTCTACTGCAGCAAGATAACCACTCTTGAGTGTACCAAATTTTGTTTTGCAAGCGGCATTGGTTTTCTTGCCACCCTTCTGATCCTTGAATTTCTCTGCAAGTGCATTGGCAGCTTTCGTATATGTCGATTTGGGGTACGTCATCCCATCTGTGCCCGCTTTGTTTTGATGCAAAAACTCAAGGAGCGCTGCCTCCTCTTCGGACGTCCAATGAGCTGGCTCTTTGCGATTGGAAATCTTGCCTTTCCCCTTAGCTTGTGAATTTGATGTGGTCTCAACTACTCCAGAGTCTACAGAGACTCAAGAGTGAAGAGACGTGATAGACAAGTCCAAGTCAGACGTGAGCATCTCTCAAGGATATAGGATATGAGTGGCTAATATCAGAGATAAGAGGCGTGCTGGCATTCCTTGCCAAAGGTCATGTGAGTAGGTCACCTGACACGTAAGTTGAATTCTCATTGTGAATTTCTTTTGAATTCGATGTCCAAACAGAGCCTAAGATAACCACTGATATGTTTGGTTGTGTTTTTGGTACAAACATGTTACATCATTATCTGTTCGGGTGACACAATCTATCTGCGATCTCATCAAGGATGAGATCAATGACGTCATACCTTACATACCCATGACAGCTGATATTTCCACGAAGTCTCTACCTCGAAAGGCTTTCCATGGTCAATATTGCTACTCTCTCACACTTTGTTCGTCTTCGAGTAGCAGTACTATTGGACCACATGCATATAATATGTGTCTGGGTGAGAGTATCACAACACGTTCTCTGTACGTACTTTCTTTTACATACACTATCACTCCTCTTGCACGTTGTCATTTTGTTCTCCGTCTCAACAACACCTTTTATTCTCCTTCCTTCGGAATCATCTCCCCTTAGTACTTCAATCAAAGACTGAGTTTCTCCCTCCTTCCTAGCCTGAGCCTCTCTTCATTGGAAAGCAAGAGTGATCAGCTCGTTAATGCATTTGTTTGGCATGCCAGACCCCTAAATAACATATCATGTACATATATACACGCACCAATGCATCAAATTGACAATGTATGATGTGGCATGACAACCAAAGTTCACGAGCGCATTGACTGACTCAAATCAGGGGTTTGATCAAACTTTCATGTCTTGACTCTGGTCTGGTCTGACACCATCAAGTTCTAGTACATTATTCATTGAAGCAGACAATGATGTGGTGCCAAAACCAACTTGTGGCTGCCGGTTCAGACATTCAAAACTCGCGTAGCATGGGGTAACTGGTGAAACATGTAAGATATGTCAAGTTTTTGATTACATCCGAAATGACGATCATTGAAAGTCGTGCATCCTCATTAAGTGGCATCAAGCCAGCAATGAAGAAAAAATTAGGACAGTGTGCCAACATTCCCGGTTCTAACTGACTTCTTCTGAGACTTCCCGGTGGGCATATCATGTATGCTGCAAGTTTCACGACAGAAGCTGATCAACATTATTGTGAGTATGCAAAGTGTTTCAGTGGCCCTCCTGGCACTGTGGTTGCAGTGACATATATTGAACATATGGACCCACAAAAACGGGGAAAATGGCTTTGTGAGGGCTGCAGTCGGTATCAACATTCAAAAACAACAACCAGGCAGATTGCTGATTCAGGTGAGTGTTAGGCTCAGAATTTATGTAGCTGCTTCAAGTGAACTTGTGAATTTTCCAGTGCCAACGCAGTATCAACTTCAGCCACCATATGATGGTGCCATGATCCATAAACAATTTGCAGAGGCTCAGCATGGTAGTTAGTGTATATTAATCGGGCACCTTCTTTGGTCATACTGACATTGTAACTGGCCCTTAGAATCAAACCTCCCTGTGCGTGCGCTTGGACTTGTAGTTCAGTGGAACATGGCCAGCCCATGGGCAGGAAATTCCAGCATGCTCCCTCCTGGACCTAAAATCTCCATTTATGGGCGTGATACCCAAACCGTCGTCTACTCAGACCTACTTCAGGCATTGTCACTCCAGCCTAACTATCAAGAGGCTCACAAAGTCTATGAAGAAATGCGGACATCACTTGCAAAATTGGCATGCTCCATGAGTGTTCCCGAAGTAGTATGTGTTAAGGTGTATCTGGCAGTGATGATGCCACGTGCTAAGAAGCTGGCTCAGATATCTGTGTGTATCTTTACCGCTAGTTCAAGTTCCAGTGTAATGCTAAGCGCTTCTATCACAGGATATCGTTGAGTCAATCAGCCATGTGCCTTATTGCATTGGTGCCAAAGACCTCAAAGTCTCTGTCTACCTCACTTTGCTTCCTTTGTTCCTCAAGTGGTCGCATGGTCTTGCATTATCTTTCGAAGAGGCCCATTGTCTTAATAACCGAGGGTCTTATATGAAAACGTGTAAGAATGTAATGACACCACAATTACACTGGATAAGACTTCTTGCCAGTCCTCGATTAACACGGTCTACGACTTTTCTTCTTTCATGGTAGATAACGTGTGAGTTCTTGGGAGGCTCGCTAAACCAATCAGTTAGATTAACTTAGCCGGAGCTTTATCACCCCCGATTGAAACTATGGGATTGTCTAGGATATACCTGTCTAGACACTTGAACTGGTTTCCTGAATATACGATTAACTGTTGAGAAGCTGGTCTCAAATGTGACTATGTTGGCCAAAGCTCGTGTTGGTCAATATACAAATACCTGGTGAGAATGCTGGTCTCACAAATAACAACAAATGACAAATAGAAAACAATGACAAATAACAACAATGACCAAAGCTCGTGTTGGTCAGTATACAAATACCTGGTGAGAACACTGGTCTCACAAATAACAACGGTGACCAAAGCTCGTGTTGGTCAGTAAACACTACGTGGTGAGAACACTGGTCTCACAAAACTGGGTTTCTATCGCGAGAAACTTATGTAATCTCAAGGGAAACACTTTCCCTGCACTTGTCTGGACAGTTCTTACAAAGGAAATGGGCTTTGTAAGCAGCAATTTGTTCAGACTGAAGCTTCTTAGGTGAGAGTTCAATTTGCTCAAGTGGGAGTTCTTGAATGCAACAAGTGGGAGATCTATTTTTTTGGGGGAGAATGGGCTCTCCTTATATACATTTTGTGTGGGAATATTATGTAAGTAAAAAGGTGATGAAATGACTTCAGAATGTGAGAAGAATATTCCAAAAACTGGAGCACAATGTTCTAGCAGATGCAAAAGAACATTCCAGAATATTCATGGTGGGATAATGACATCATTCTGAGTCACTATGAGTCACTATGAGTCATTATGAGTCATTGGAATGTTCTAGCAAATTCCATGGAACATGACATCATTATGACATCACTATGATATCATATCTTTCAACCAAAATACCTGCAGGAGTGTAGGTGAAGTCCTATGACATCATCATGACATCATACCCTGTAGGTACAATTTTATGAAGCATCTGATTAGTCAGAGCATCCTAATAGAAAAGTAAAGTAAAGAAACACTAGAGAAAACAACTCAGAAATAATGGAACAAATAATAGTACACAATATGTGGGCTTTTTAGATAGGTTTTTGTTAGGCTTTGAACTTTTCTCTATGGGTTTCTCTAGCCAAAGTAAATAAGCCAAATGAAAGGCAATACCTTAACCTTCATTTTGCTTCTCATATCAACTAGGTCATTATGTGATTCCCATCTCACATATGACTTTTCTTCAAAACATGGTGGATTCATGAATCACTGAGGGAAAACTGAAGCTATTGGACCAAGGTTTGATACCAAGGTATGGGTTGACTAGTCTGAGGACTAAGCTAACAGACTTTGTCTTTTAGGGGGATACCTAGTAGTCATGTCCATGCATGATTCCCAAATCATGCAGGACACCGTCTGTGATTAGCTAGTAATTTTGAGGAAATTCTCCCCCGTCCACATGGCGAAGACACCAATGCAATCGCCTTCCACTTTCTCAAGATGAAAGGCGGCAAGCAACAGTTCCACGCCGGCAAGGGTATTGAAGTCCATCTTCTAATCCCACTCGAAAAGTTCCAGGAGGCAGAGAAAAGGCGTGAAAGGGTCGAGGAAGATACCGAATTCCAAGTCTGTGTGCGCCAGTCACTCTTTAGACCATCCCTAACCTACTACTGTTTACACCAGGGCACCATGTTATCAGCAATAGACTCACAACCTCCGGTTGACAATATGACTCTACGTAGTCTTGGGCTTGTGTCATCGCAGTTGGTGATTGGGCCCTCCTCTTCAAATGCAACTCTCATCCAAAATTGTAGACAGTCAAAGCGCAGATTGTCCTCAGTGAGTAGATTTAAGATCTTCCTATGCTTAGCCGTACTAAACAAGATGATACAAAGCCATCTCTTCCAGCTACTCCTCCCCAAAAGCTTCGAACTTTGAAGACAACCATCTCCCCAGATGCCAGTGAACTTTGTCATGCACTTCAAGCACAAGCAACTGTGATCAGTGGAAAATCGCTTCCAGATCCTTTCCGTGAGTGATAGCCTAACTTTCTACAAACTACGCTCATTGCAAATATGACAGTTACTCTGCGTCCATTTACTACAGTGCTGCACATTGTTCCACCCCTTCTCAGCTATCTTCTCTTATCATCAATCCCAATACCTCCAACATCATCAGTACTGTCGCTCCATTGCAGGCGATACTCTTTTTTAATCCACAAAGCAAGCCAAAATATGGCGCATTCAAGGCCGCCCAAGTCAGATTCCTCGACAAAGCCATTCTGGGGCCTTTAAGCTCCATCTCAACACATATCTGTCTCAAGCAATGTTATTACCGAAACGACAAGTCCAAGAGGTTCCCTTATGCCAATCCATGCCAATCACAGCTGTTGCAACCTGAGATAAAGTGCAGCATATGGGCTGGAGCTCTCATGGACCATGTCCAACAGTTTGTCACTGCTGAGCTTTCCATGCAGTGGCACACCACCATTCAACATCCCCAACATTTGCTTTGTTCATGTTGCTCTTGCCAGTATTGACGATGCGGCTGTCACTAGAACCTATCTTGTTGAGGAGTTTATTGATGAGGCCACAGAAAGCAAGTTCATCAAATACATCTCCAATGACTCGCCTTCCCCACTACCCAATCTCAACACCAAATCAAGCGAGATTGCCAGGTATCTGTCATTTGCGCAACATGTCCAGTATATCAAAACGAAGAAACTTGCATACATTGCTGACTTTCAGGGTTCGTTCTCGTTCTGCAGTCTTCTCTTCACTTCTTCTAATCTAAAGCTTGTTTCAGGAGGAACAACCCTTTTGACCAATCCTCAAATCATTACTTCACCAAATCTTTCTGGGAACTTATTTGCGGAAGGCAACCTGACGCACATCTTCACTTTGTTTGAGGAGAAGCATGCATGCAATGAATTTTGCAAGTTTTTTCAACTTGAGACATTCATAACAACACGCGCAAACTTCCAGATGGCCTACAATAAACCCTTACCCCCTCCCGCATCACCTCCCCACTTGGGCCCAGATTACCTGATTGCCAAAGAAATTGATATCACTCATAGTGGCGGTAGTGAGCTCGAGTATGATGACTTTGGTGCACAAAGTATGGATCTAGGAACTCGTGAAGTGAGTGCAGGAAGTGGCGAAGATAGTAGTAGTCATTAGATAGTCTGCTCTTTGTAACAAGGAAACTACTTCAATTTTTTTTTTGAATGCAACAGCCAGATTTGTAAGGTTCAAGTAGTCAGTAGACTCATATCGATGTAAATTGAGGAAGAACAATGTCAGAAAGGATGATAAGGTACGTCTTATGAGTTAAGGTACATCTTGGCTCATCCACAATATGAGAATCTCAATAACCATCTTCATTTGCTTAGATATATCATGCAACATGTTATGCTGAAGCTATGAGTTCAAAGCATACTCTGGCTTCAAGATTACACCAACAGCACCTGATGCACATCATTTTAATGAAAGGGCGAAATGAATTGATTTATTGGTACGATACTTGACACTAGTTACTCTGGGGCCTCTTCCTGGTCTCCTTCAGAATCAGAGTCAGTGAACTCCGCATACTCAGGCCCATCTTCATTGTCACACTTATCCCCCTTGTTGGACACATATGATAGTAGTAATGATCTGAGCGCAAGTACTAACACTGACTAAACGAGAATAGCCTGAAGTGCCGGATGTTTGTCAGCAACTGCGCAGATCAAGGACAAACGGTTACTGTACATTACTGAGACTTAGTATATATACTGTGTTAGTATTTCACATTAGAGTCAGTCGAAATAATAGAAAGAAGTTCTACTTTACCTCTCATCCCTACTCTGCTCATAACCACAGGTTATGAGCCCTGACCCGACACTCATGGATACTACGCTCCATGGAAACTCGTCACTATATGCCATCCCAAAACTTGCCGACAATGTCTCGAATTGGATTACCTATAAGGAAAGAGCGTTAACAGTGATTCGCACACGAAGTTTGATGTGATATCTTGATGGTCGGAAGAAAGAACCTACCCTATACTTGAAGGACTCAGCTGGAGATTTTGTCAAGCCGGATGGAAGCAAAGCAAGTGAAAAAGAGGTAGAAGAGCTGAAGGAAAAGATAGATGAATATTTCCAGAAGGACTCACTCACCTGACAGCATATATTCAGTACCATTTCGGACAGACTATTGCTGCAGGTCCAGAAGTTAGGATCAGCATCAAAGATATAGGAGGAGATCCGAGTCCTGCACAAAGGGAAGACAGAGCTCGTGCAAATAGATTTGCAACGATGGGTCCAGGATGCAAGATGTGAAGAGGGTGGCGATGTCAAAATTCATTTTGATGAACAGCTTCGACTTCACGAATCGCTCGCAGGAATGGGAACTGCAATTGCCGACAAAGACTTCTTGGCAATCATTATGGGCTCCTTACCAGAGTCATACAGACCCCTACTATCCTCTATTAATGCAGCATCCAGAATATCAAAAACGTCACTCACCTCAAATGAGTTAATCAATGTTATATCCGAAGAATACGAACATAGACAGTTGTCGAACCGCAGAACCTCGAAGAAGGGCGGAAATAGTGCTTTGCCAGCGAGAACAGGCATGAACAAGAATTGTACCGAAGAACGTGCAAGCAATAGCACGAACAAAGATATAACCTGCTATAATTGTGACCACAAAGGACACTACAAATCAGATTGTTGGAGACCTAGAGGAGGGGAAGAAGGTCAGAGACCAACCCAAGGATGAAGAAGAAACGAGAACTCTCAGAGACAAGCTGCAAATACAGCAGAGCATAAAGCTGAAGAAAATTTTCGCCTTTACTTCATCAGCCCAAACTAGCATTACGAAACAATTGGACGAACCCATAGAGGAACACAGAGCTATCATTGACTCCAGTGCCTCGATGCACTTCTGTCCAGATCGTTCAAAATTCATCACCTTCAAGTCAATAGAACCCCAACAGGTACACACTGCAAATGGATCTTCAATCAGTGCCATAGGACAAGGAGATGTCCATATGAAGCTACCAAAGCGAGGAGGATACACATCAGTAACACTGAAAGATGCACTATACACGCCAAACATGGCGCTTACCCTAATCTCGACAAACAAAATTGCTGCGGCAGGTTTTGCAACACATTTCGAGAAGAACATGTGCAAAATAATATCCCCTGCCCCAGCTCACAAAGTTATTGCTAAAATACCAGAGATAAACGGCTTATACACTGTTATACCCGCAACTTGTCATCATGCAAACACCATGGGAACAAAGCTTACCCTAAATGAAGCACACAAGATCCTCAGGCACATATCCCAACCAGCACTTCATGACGCAGTCCAGAAAGGTCTCATCAAGGGAATCAACCTTGACCCTACTTCAAAACCAACATTCTGTGATGCCTGTACACAGGCAAAGTCCACTCGTCAACCATTTCCCCGAGAATCCTTATGGGGGCCAGCACAGACTATGAGTCTTGAAGGACACCTGTATTACATCAGTTTCACTGATGATTCAAGCCGAGAGACCAAGATTGAATTCCTGAAGAAGAAAAGCGAAGCCCTCACTGCATTCAAACAATATGAGGCTTACATCAGCCGTCAGCACAGCGCACAAATTTGCAGACTTCGTTCAGATTGAGGAGGCGAATATCTAAGTGCCAATTTTGATAAGCACTTAAAGGATCAAGGCATCAAACGGCAACTTACAGTACATGACTCACCACAACAAAATGGAGTTGTGGAGAGGCTGAACCGCTCACTGGTTGAACATGCACGTGCAATACTACTTGCGAAAAATCTTCCGAAATTCCTGTGGGCCGAAGCAATCAATTATATCACTTGGCTGAAAAATCGCCTACCTTCTAGAGCAATCCCAGGACATACACCATATGAACTAGTCAACAAATCTAAACCAAATTTAGCGACTGCACATGAATTCGGAACAAAGGTTTATATCCACTCACCAGAAAATGGGAAGCTCGAGACACAAGTGGAAGAAGCCTTTTTCGTTGGAGTAGATGAGGAATCCAAAGCTTATCGGATCTACTGGCTGATGAAACGACATATCTCTGTCGAACAAAATGTCAGTTTCATGCCACTGATGGTTGAAGTTGTAAGTGACTTACTGGACGAGGGGGAGTCAGAGGCTTCCAGCAAGCAAATACCTTCAGAAAATGTCCAGCAAGTCACAACAACAACAAATGAGGAAACCATACCACCAAAAACACCTCCCCAAACTACCAAATCACTTCCTGTCCCCAGAACGCCAAGACCAACACGAACACATTACCCAACAGGATACTACAAAGCCCTGAATAATGGGAAAAGGGCATCGGTAGCAACCATAGAGGAAATACGAGACGAAGAACAACTGCTTACCAATCACTGGGCACTCACAGCTGCGGAACACGAACTCACATTAAAGGAAGCACTTAGCGGACCAGATGCAGAGGAATGGCAGCAAGCCATAAACTACGAAATCGGTCAACTAGAGAAACTGGGAACATGGGAAATAGCAGATGGACCAAAGGGAGCCAATGTTATACCTTGCCACTTTGTTTTAGCAACGAAATGAGGTCCAAACAGAGAAAAAGTGAAGCTGCGTGCGAGATTAGTCACAAATGGTCAGCACCAAGAATACGGCATCGATTACCAAGAAACATTTGCACCTACCTCAAGCATGACAACAATTCGAACCGTTCTAGCAATGGCTGCAAAGCACGATTGGGAAATACATCCAAGTCAAGTCGATGTTAAAAGTGCTTACCTTAACGCCAAGCTCAATGACGACATATACATGCGTGCTGTCATGCATGGTATGCAACTCATACCATGACAGATACACAAGAGGTGTGATAAGGAAGGTATAATAGACCCTACTGTATCCTATCACCAAGTTACCCCATCATTTTCCCCTTAGTTATTAGCTAGTATTTTCACTTTCAAACTTCACTTCCATTTTTCCATGTATTTCTATTTGTTCTATGACATTCCATCTCTTTCTATTTTCCTCAGGCATATTCAGCCAACAGACTTTCTTTTCAGCCACCAAGCATGTGTGTAAGCATGTCATGTGACTGGTAGATATCATGATTTGTAAAGATTGAGCTTGACTCATCATGTTTTGTCATGATTCATCATGCTTTGTAAGATTTCTAACTGTATTTATAAGCTACTTAGTAAGAAGGCTGATTCAGCACACCAAATGGCATTGTTAGTAAGCACATCCTTACCAATCCATGTGATGACTCATGCCATGATTCGTCATGCTTTGTAAACTACACTGTATTTATAATGTAAATTAGTAAACAAGCTGACTCAACACACCAAATGGCATTGTTAGTAAGCACATTCTTACCAATCCATGTGATGATTCATGCTTTGTAATCAGGGCCTCCAAAAGGTATATAAGGAGCCCAATTTTGCCATGTAATAAATGGAGCACTTCCCACCTTCACTCATCTCAAACAGTGTGAGATTAAGTAAGAACCTAAGTACAGGCAATTCATTAGCCTCAAAGTAAGACTAAGAAACATTTTTTCAATTATATACTACCTTACAGGGGTTGTTTATATAATCTATCAGCTATTCTAACTAAGTTTAACCCATACTATTTTCCTCTCTCTTTTACAGGAAGGGAGACACGATTCACGCTACACATTTCATGTTACACGATACACGAGCATGCTAACTCTCAGACACAATTCATACCATAGACTCAGTATACAGAATCAAATTGTTTTAAACTAACCAAGAAAGAAGGAAAGAAGGTATACTGAAATAAATCCTCCCAAGAACTCGCACATTATCTACCACGAAAACTAGAAAAGTCGTAGACCGTGTACTTAAGGACTGGCAATAAGTCTTATCCTATATAGTTGTGTTGTCACTATATAAGCGGCGTACATAAGACCCTTAAGTAAGAGGACAGCGCACTGTCATGCATGGTATGGAACTCATACCATGACATTGATAGACAGGAAGTAGCCACAGAGAGTACACTAAGGTGTACCTCATTGTATTATTATGATTGGTTCCATTTTGACAGATTTACTTGTATTTATATTTCCAGTATGATAGTTTTCACCTTTCCCCTTTTCTTTTCATTTCTTTTGTGTGGTTTATTCAGCCACCAGTGAGCCACCAAGATGTGTTAGTAAGCATGTCATGTGATAGGCAATATTCTGCTTTGTAAGGATCCTGCATGATTTGTCATGTGGCTTCCATTTGTTTCCATTTGTTTCAGGCTCATTCAGCCACAGAATCCTTCAGTGAGCCACCAGATATGTTTGTAAGCATGTCATGTGATAGGCAATAATCTGATTTGTAAGGATTTGTCATGATTTGTCATGCTTTGTAATATTATGAACTTTATTTGTAAACTACTTTGTAAGCAGCTGATTCAGCACTGCCAAATGGCATGGTTAGTAAGCCAGTGACTTACTAATGCTGTGATGAGTCATGCTTAGTAAAATGGCCTCCCAAAAAGGTATAAAAGGAGTCCATTCTACACTGAGTAATAATAACTTCCCACTTTTCACTCTTCTCTCAAACTGTGAGAGTCCGTAACACTTAAAGTGCAGGCCAAGAGTGCCTTGAAGTAAGATAAACATTGTATCAGAGATTAGTTGTATACTACCTTACAGGGGTCGCTTATATAACAATCTATTTATAAACTACTTGTTGTGTGCTACCTTTCAGGGGCTGAGTATACAACACCAGAACAGCTTTTGTACTAGGCTTTACGTATTTAAGACAGACTTCATTACTTGTTGTGTACTACCTTACAGGGGTTGAGTATACAACACCAGAACAGCTTTCTAACTAGGCTTCACGTATTTTAAGACAGACTCTCTCTTTTTCAGGAAGGGAGACACGAGAACACGACAAAGTTGAGACAGACTTTCATAGGTTGAGACACGACCTATGAGATTGAAACAGATCTTACTATCAGAACATTAGGGAATCTATCGAGTGTTCCACCAGGGAACAACAAGAAGAGGACATGTCAGTAAACCCTCCCAAGAACTCACACATTATCTACCACGAAAACTAGAAAAGTCATAGACCATGTACTTAAGGACTGGCAAGAAGTCTTATCCTGTATAGTTGTGTTGTCACTATACATGCATTGTACATAAGACCCTTAAGTAGTAAGACAGCACCACCAGGATACTTAACCGAAAAGGACAAAGGAAAGGTGTTAAAGCTATTGTGTAGCTTATATGGCCTAAAGCAGGCCGGTTTTGAATGGTCCGGAGAGCTAGAAGAATTTTTCCTTGACGTGGGATACACACGCTCGCAGGTAGATCAGGCTGTATATTTTCGATGAGCCGAAGAAGAACATACTGTTATTACAGTATCCGTCAATGACATGGCGGTCACATCAAAATACCTAAAGCACATCAAAAAGTTCACAGATCAATTGCATAAACAATTCAAAATTTCAGACCTAGGAGAGCTTACCTGGCTCTTAGGATTGAAAATTGAAATGGACCAAGGAGCATGGACCATATCACTCTCGCAAGAAGCATATATAAATACCATCATCGAGAGATTTCGTCTCGAGGATGCCAAGCCTGCATTAACACCTATGGAAACAGGAATGGTGTTAACGAAAGATCAGCAAAACAATTTACCAGACACCCAACCTGAAATATCCAAACAATACATACCATACCAACAAGCTATCAGATCACTGATGTATGCAGCGATATGCACGCGTCCCGATATAGTGTTCGCCGTCTTGATACTCTCGCAATTCATGTGCAAACCGGCTAATGCACATTGGGAAGCTGCAAAGAGGGTCATACGGTATTTGAAAGGGACCAAAGACTTGAAACTCACCTTGGGAAAGACAGACAACGAGCTTGAAGCATTTTCGGATGCGGACTGGGCATCACAGCTGCACCGACACTCAATCTCAGGATGCATTGTAATGTTGTATGGCTCGCCAATCGCATGGAGTGCCAGGAAACAGACCATCATTGCGCTTTCGACAGCCGAAGCTGAATATATCGCCCTAACATCAGTAGCGCACGAAATACTTTACCTCCAAGCTCTTATTGATGAGCTTCATGGGTGTTAAGACCGTACTCAAGTAGTATCGGATCCGAAGGGCTTCGGCCTCAGCTCGTGCGCTGTGCCCCTTTCCCGAGTCTTGCCCCTTATTTCAGAGAGCTAAAGTATCGCGTGTATAGAGTAACGGCCAATCCGGATCGGATCCAGACTAGAAACTAACGGGTGAGGACTGTCCGAAGACAGAGGCGGATATGTAGACTATAGGAATCTATCCTAAGTCTCGGAGTAGACAAGAGTAGCGTACTCAAGTCCGGATGGATAACGGAGGGACTCAGAGTCCAGACGGAATGAGTGCAATCTAAGATGATATTCGAACTGATCTACTACAGCGCATATACAAAGGTTTATATACTACGGATAGCTAACGGAATGATCAATAAGCAAAGGTGCGAGGCTATGTACGAAAGTATAAGCAAAGTCTAAGTGGAGCATATTGGT